GGTGGAGTTAGCAAGCCCTGGGCTCTTCTCCCTTGCCTCGGGGTGGGGTGGGGGGGAGTGCTGCGGCTGGCAGGCCCGGGCAAGTCTGGGGGCTCCGGGCCAGGACTTGAAGAACAGGCTGCCGCCTCTGGAATGCGGCCCCGGCCCGCCCAAAGGCGGGGTGGGGGGGCGGAATTAGCTTTCTCTTCCCGCAGGTGAGGCGGTGGCGGGGGCTGCTGCTGCTCTTCTGGCAAGCACTGTGTTTGGCTACTGTGGCCTTGGTGCAACCTGGCAAGCTCCCTGGAGACTGGCCGGAGGTGCCTCTGAAATCTCCCCTTGAAGCCAGGCCTCTGGAGGCTTTTCCAGCAAGGATTCTGGGAGCTGTTTTTGGCCATTAGCCATGATGTCTAAAGGGAGCCTCCCTGTTCAGAGGCAACCAACCTGTGACTGGCAGTTGCTTGGGACCAGCTGAGTGAATGGGGGGGGGGGGACCTGGGTGCTCGGGTCACTCACAGGCCCCTTCAGGCCCACACAGCTGGGCTCCTGCGGGAAGAGAATTGGCTCAAAACTCCCCCCAGCCGCCCGTCTGTTCTGGCTTGGCTGTGCACTTGGGAGCAGTGTTCCCTCTAAGCTGAGTTAGTGTGAGCTAGCTCAGTTTTTTAGCCTCCGGCTCACACATTTTTTGTCTTAGCTCGGGAAGGAGGCTATTCACCCAAAGAGTGATTCACACATGGAATTCACTGCCACAGGAGGTGGCGGCAGCTACAAGCACGGACAGCTTCAAGGGGGCATTAGATAAGCATCTGGAGCAGAGCTCCATCAGTGGCTATGAGCCACAAGGTATAGATAGGAGCTCTCGATCTGGGGCAAGTGAAGCTCTGTGTACTTGGTGCGGGGGGCAGCAGTGGGAGGGCTTCTGGTGTCCTGGCCCCACTGCTGGACCGCCTGAGGGCACCTGCTATTTTTGGCCACTGTGTGACTCAGAGTGTTGAACTGGATGGGCCATTGGCCTGACCCAACATTGGCTTCTCGTATGTTCTTAAGGAGGGTTCTGGAGCAAACTAATTTATGTAGTAGCCAAATTGCTCGCAACTTTTAATGCCAGGAGCTCAAAAAGTAGAATGTTTGCTCACAGGACTCCACAGCTGAGAGGGAGCATTGCTTGGGAGTGTCCCAAAGACCCCATGGCCATGTGCAACAGCCTCTTGTCTATCCCCCTCCCCACCAGGATAAGCCTTTTGGAAAGGGGGAGGGGGCTTATGAAGAGTGTGGCTGGCGTGTACTGGGTGGTAGAACCCCCCCCCCCCCCCCCCCCCGTTCTGTCTCCCCAGCAGCCTGGCCTGCAGCCCACCCCCTATGTTTGGGGTGGCCACGATGCTGCAGCAAGAGGGGGCCGAGCTCCACCCCTTCAGGGACTTCCAGGAGATGCTGGCGACTTACGGGCTGCAGAGTGGGGAGGCGCCCGATGGGGTGGCTTCCCTTCAAGGCCACATCCTCCCCCATCTCTACCAGCCGCTGGGCTTTACCAACATGGCGCATCTTTAATGGCGGAGGCGAGGGCAAGAGCGCGCTCTGGACTGTGGTTTTAATCTGGCTTTGAGACGTGTACAAAGAGAAAGATGGGCCAGAAGCGGGGAAATGAAGGAAAACTGCTGTATATAGTGGTGGTGGGGGGAGGGCTTTGGGGGGCTTCTAGGCCCTGGAACAGTAAGTGGCAGTTAGTCGGATTCTTGGTTCTGCGGGAAAACGGAAGCTCGTTTTGTAACCCTCTTTATTAAAAGATTTCTTAAAATAAAACTTGTTTGTAGAAATTGTGTGCTAGCTGGTTATGTTCGCGCGCGCACACACCCCATGCTCTGAAAAACAGCTACTTTTCTTTTGGAGCTTCCCCACCGCCCACAAGCATGCCCACAATGGGCTGGGTTAATAAGGGAGCTCAGGGGCTCCCTTCAGACAAGCATGCCCCCACCCAGAAGCGCTTCTCTTCATGCAGGGAAACAGTCCCCTGTCCCGTCCCGTCCCCACACACTGCTTTCAGCCCTGTGAAGCTGCTGTTGCACAGGGGTCCCTGAAGCAAGTCGACATGCCTTTATTTTGACCGAAGCAGAGAGCCGCGGTGCCTTTGTTGATCTCCAAGGCCCTCTGGCCCTTGCGGCATGGACCTGGGGGGGGGGACCCCAGAGCTTCTGCTAGAATAAAATGTTCCACGAACATACAATAAGCTGCCTTAGGCATCAATCCATCAAGGTCAGCGGCCTCCCAGTGTCTTGGGCACAAGTCTTTCACAACTGCAGGTGCTGGGGATCTTCTGTACGCCGAACAAATGCTCTACCACTGAGCTGGGGCCCTTTTCTGCACGCACAAACCTGTGCTCCGGTAGCCCAGACCAAAGAGGGCTAAACTAAGCCCCCCCAGGCCTTTCTTTCATCCTCAGAACTGGTGGAGAGACTTGGTTCAGCCAGTGGGGAGCAGTACTCTTTCACCTTATTAACGGGACCGCCTTCCTCTCCTGAAGTTTGGCTCAGGGTCTTTAAACCAGCAGCCTTCCTCCCTGGGGGTCTCCCTCCAAGGGAAGGCCAGGCAACCCCCTCTTCCCCCCAGGCCCTTAGGGGGTGCAACAATCACAGCTGGGATGGAGGTTCTTGGCGGCAGTGGAAGCCAGAGGGGGTGCCTCCAGCTCCAAGATGGACAAGGCAACTGCAGCAAGTGACAGGGGAACGTTTAATAATAAAAAAGTCCTAAAGGGCACACTGACTTCCCAGCAGTCGTCCCCCCCCCCACGCCCGCTAGGGAAATGGGCAGTCCCCCTCCCGGCAGTAGCACTGGCTCAGAAAACTCCCTTCCTGTGGACAGGTTGGGGGCAGCCGGGGCTCCTCTGCCCCTTTCTATTCCTTCTTGCGTTTGTCGACAGGAACATTCCAGTAGTAGAGCAGCTGGGCCGTGATGATGGCGTTGCAGGCCGAGGAGACCACGTAGGTGAGGGCCATCAGAGGGTCCCCCGTCTCCTGGGAACGAGAAAGCAAAAAGGTGGAGGGCTCCCCCTCTGAGGTGGCCTTTGGCGGGGCCCGCTCAGCCCCCTCCCCCAAGACCCCCACTGCTCCTGCAGGTTGCCCTGGACCCAGT